TGGAAAATACATGATCCCCCTCCATTGAGCAATGTAGCGCAATATGCTAGTCAGACTTAGAAGGCTGGATATTTGTTTAGATGATCAGAAACTAAACAGGAAATGTTTGTGGAAAGCCTCCAACTGTTCGGTCTCTTTTTCTTCTGCCCTTTTCTTTTACTCATTTCTCTCTCTTACTCGCTTCCCGTAGCTTCAGAGAAGACAGAAGGCTGGCGGAGGCAGTGAAATGCTTTGGGTCATGTTTTCCATGGAAACCTTGAGTCCTGACAGTCATGTGGATGTTACTTTGAGTCGTTCCAGCTAAATGGCGTTGCTAACAGAGCACAGCCCCATTATTCCCTGACTGTGGCCTTCTCTTCTCCAGCAGGGTAATCAGCCCTGCCACGTCGCTCCAGTAACACATGTTCAAGGTGTTGACTTGGCCTCCCTCCACATTCCTCTGTGGGGATGTTCCACATCAACACGCACAACTCAATGAGCGCATGCTGCTTCTGTGATGTTTGAGGTTTGAATTTGTCCAATACATTTTTCTTTTTTGGATCAAACAGAAAGACGTCCACAACGTGGGATATTGTTTTGGGATCTTCATGATACTGTGTGGTTTATGACAAAATAACCAAATAACTGCATCAGTGTGTACGCGCATCCTTAAAAAGTCTTAATTTTGTGCGTCTAACATTAAGATCTTAGAATGTCTTAAATTCTTTTTTTTTTTTTTTAATTGGCCTTAAATTTATTAATCGCAGGTTTTAAAGTTTTTTTGTGGCAGGACTAGTTGATGTAGTTTCTTCCGTGGTGGGACTTTTCTGTCAGGCAAAAGTTTGAGTCTCATGCAAACGTCTTCACATGGTTTTGTGACTTTCTGTTGAGGCCATTGCTAGTCAGCTGCTAACATACCCTAGCTACCTAGCTCTTTCACCATTAGCAAAATGGTGACTATGAGTTGGCTACTCGTATTCACCACTGGGTCAACTTTGACAATCAACATGAGGTGAAGTGCAAAAAAACCCAAAAAACTAACTTTTAAGCTCGACACTGCCGTTGCTAAGACTATGAAGGGCCACATGCTGAGTGGCAAGCACAAGGCTCCTGCCAAGAGCCACACAGGCCCCAGGAGTTTCAGTTTGTCCTACAACTGACTGAAACGTAGCGAATTTCCATAGCAATCCCCTACGTTTATAGCTTCTTTGGTTTTAAATTTCATTCAAAATGGCATTAGAAATGTCTTTAAAAGTCTTACATTTGACTTGCTGAAACCTGCAGAAAACTTGTGTATTTAAGCTGAATCTGGAATGAAGTTAAAATCAGAAGTGGAGTCATTTTGTGACACCTGAATGTAACGGGTTACACCACATTTGCTCTATTAAATCAGCTTTAGAGAGTCAGTCTATGCTTGGCTGGAGCTGGTTACGCATTTTTAAATCATAATGTTTTGTCCAAACAGCGTGAATATGACCAATTCATTTAATGTTCAACTATGGAGTACTTTTTTTTTAAGAAAAAGTAAAAAGCATCATACTTTTTATTGTGTTTATACTGAACATTTGCTACATAGTGTTTTGTATTTTAAAACGTCTCATCCTGTTGGCTACGTCTATAAAAATAAATACATCCAACGTCTCTATCTTAATGCTGCTGGGTCCATCTGAACATCAGTCCATCCGATCCGTCCCATTGTTTTGCGGCAGCAGCAGCTCGGCTTGTTTACTCTTGGAGTGTGCTGAGTCAGCCTGACACACTGAGGCTTACTGGGCCCAAAGCCTGAGTACTTCACTGCACCACAGCAGCCTGATGTGTGCTGATGTGTGCTGGGGTGGGGAAAAAAAAGAAAGAAAGAAAAAGAGAGAAAAAAAAGAAGGTAAATCCAGACTGAGGCACTGCATAGATGGATGGGAGGATAGGTGTGGCCTGTGTTACCAGCGGTGGTGTGGTGCACGTGTTGCTCCTCCTCACTTGTGGCCACTCCCTGAATTCCTGCGGCGGCGGCGGCGGCCTCTCACCCACAAACCCTGCTTGCTGGAATCCAGAGAAACCCGAAGCGTTGAACCTGAGAAAAAAACAAAACTAGATAAAACATGAAGCTAAGCTCGCATTTCTGAAACCTATTTATATTCCCCAGTTTCCCAACTGGTGACTGTATGATGTGATTTGATGATTCTGATGGTGGCGTTGCTTGGTGACTGTGTGATGTTTCTATGAAATAAATCATTTTGAACTGCCCTGTTGCTGAAATGCAAATTAGGAGCTTATATTCTGTTTATTATGGCCTTCAGTCTTCAATCCTGGCCTGCGTAAAGCTGCAATGTTCAAGTTTCACAAAAAATAAAATAAAAATGTTTTTCCTTATTTGCATTCCTCCTGGTCAGAAACACCCAATCAGAGCCAAGAGGAGGGGCCTACAACTGTCAATCAACCTCATGTACTCATGAAACAACTTACCGTTCAGGAAAACTGCTTATCAGTGGCCTTGGCATTCATGGCAGGCTGTGTTGTGATAAACCAGCTGGAGCGGAGCACAGCACGAGGGGGAGAAGGTGAGTGCGAGAGTGATTGACAGCACTAAGACCCTCCTCCAGACACTGACAGGTTGTTTCTCATTGAGTGGTGTATTTCTGCAGTTAGCACTGGGAGAAGGCAAAAGAGAAAAAAAAAAAAAAAATTCCACAAATGATCTTTCTCATAACATACACCATCATGACATAATGGCAGCTTTAACAAATATGTAAAACATACATATATTTTACCTAAAAGCTAGATAGTGCAGCTTTAAGGCTATCACTATGTTTCAGTCAGCTGTTACACTGCACTGTGGGTTCAGCCAGGAAAAAAATAGCTTCCTCCTGCATTCATAAATACAGAGATATGGATCGCTTTATTCATTTCTGACACAGTGATTTACAGAAATCTGGGCTGAGGCATTAGGACAGTTGAGGTTCCTCCCCAGTCCTTAGCGGTGCCAGTCCATCACTGCTCCCCTGTAGATGAAGCTGAACTGGGTCGACCGAGTAGAGGAGGTCTAAGAACCATGATGCTGCAGACCTGTGCTCTCCATCTTAGAACTGTGGTCGTGTTTCCAGCCTCACTGGGAACAAACTCTTTTTGCACAAGGATCAGCTTGAAAACACACAGCCGCAAAGACACCGCAACAACAAATACTGCAGAACGACATCTTTTTCTTTTCTTCTTTTTTTTCTCTTTCTGATCGTGCACTGTCATCCTGACTCTAAACGGAAACGTGTCGTGTTGTGAGGTGACCACCAGAGGGCACACTTGGCTTCTATTTCACACCCGACGTTGGGTAAAAAGAAAGGAATATCCTAGTCCCACCTGTGACGATAGTTACATGTGATCAAATACATGTATTGTGATTTTTTATTTTATTTAGATTTTATTTTTTGCTTGGGATTCTACGTTATGTAACCTATAAATACTTCATGTTAATGTAGAAGCATTCGCCGGTCTGGGGGCAGATAATGATGGGGAACATCTGCCTGTCAGACCAAATAAAACTCTGTGGGTGGGAAAGAGAAGCATGTCTAAAAGCACACATGATTTTAAGATAAACTCCTTGTTAATGCGTGGCTGGTTACCCAGTATAACGTTTATATCAGCAGTCAGCAGAATTGAAGGTAGATGATCATGCTTTGTGTAAACAGGAGTTCCACAAGGATCTATTCTTGGTCCTTCATTGTTTGCGATCGATGTGATATCAACAATCTGTCCTTTACGCGCTGTATCTGCAACACACAGAAAATAAGAGTGTGCAAGATGGATTATTGCAATTCTTTGCACCCAGGACATTCAAAAGCTGCAGTTAAAAGTTTCCACCAAACGTTGGAGGTGTATCAGCTGAAGCGTGTTGTGATTCACAGGAGGAGTCCAGGAGGAGTGAAAGCTGCGAGTCGGTGACTCAATGCAATCTGCTGGGTTTGCGTAGATAGAAAACTTTTTTTTTCTTTTTAGCTATTTGAGTAATAAACTGAATATTAAATATTGAATGTGAATAGAGGCTGCTAAGATGCATATGTTCTCTATTATTCTCACATACTGTATAATTTACCAACCAAACACTTGTTAGCCACTGTTGCTGTTCGGAAACTGCTGCAGTTTGCGTCATTATGTCTTCAATATATAATCAGGTAAGGCAAAAATAAAACTTGTGCAAAGAAATGATGAGATCCCAATCCTATCAACAGAACCTTTAGCTTTTTCTAACTTATCATTTTTAGGTGGCGTTAGGTTTTTAATCATTTTTGATTTTTCACATTTAGATCTTGTGCTTACGACTGAAGCCTACGCTTTGTGCAAGACAGTAATTAACCTGATGGAGCAAAATGCTAAGAACTCATTCTCTATAACTTTAACTATTTATCCAATATCTTGAGACATTGCTTCAGTAAGTCCATATAATGTTCTTTATTTATGCTGCCATCCATATTGTGCTGTGCACCAGTCCCTCTTTCAGCAAAATCCCAACACCTCCTGCCACCCCTTTGTCTGCAGTTGATTTGGAGCGCTGAAGCTCACAAGCGTCCCCCAGTGGCCAATTGAGGCACAGTTCTCCTTTTACTGAGAATAATAACACTTTAAAACTTCTGCTGGCATTTTCACAATGCATTAAACATGTACCAAAACTCATTTATCTCTCCGTAACAAAACGGATCTCCTTCCTGGTCAGTTTAGTGATTTTTATATTCTTCCATATATTTGCATGAGCAGGTTCTTCATGCATATTGCAGCCAAAGATAGAGTGTTGCCTTTCAATCATCCACAGGCTCCAGCATTGTGAATTAACCTATCAAATCTTTACACAGTCATGACGTCATCTTCTGAGCAAATTGTTTGAAGACACCTCTAAATTTTAAGTTGTTTTTTTTTCTTTAATTTAAAAAAATATGCTTTATTATTATTAAATTCAGAAAATAACTTATTTTGCCTTTCAATTAAGGATGAACTAATAAATCACGTTCGTTCACACACAACAGTAGTTTGTGACGATTTTTATTGTATTACTGGAGGGGGTAAATATATATATATATATAAAACATCCCACAAAAATACATAAAAGAATTGTCATATTACTAAGCGAAGACACGTCCTTCTGTGGACATTTACACCATGATCAGCATCAAAACGCAGCTTTTTCTTTACAGATTAATGTGACATCATGAATTTTGATGCTATAATAAATGATGGAACAACTTCGGGGTTTATTGTGTTCAGATTAGGCAGACAGAAAGCAGATTTTTTTAAAAATTATTTATTATTATTGTTATTATTTCTCATAAGCTACAATCGAGTTGTATTACACTGAACGTCGGGAGCAAAAAATAATAATAAAAGAAGAAGTTGGAACTCCTCGTGATTGGTCGCTGGTCTGAGACTGGGCAAAAAAAAAAACCTCCAAGCCCCACCCACCTCCCAATGAGCCGCTGACGTAAAAACTGCTTCCTCCTCCTCCTCCCGTTTTTGTCCCTCCGCACCACCTCCTCCGTCAGCTAGTTCGCTGTCAGGATACATTAAGCTCATATGCCCGTAGTATTCAGCGAGCGCAGAAAATGGCCAAGGAGAATGAGGGTGGAAAAAATAAAACAGTCCCTGCTTTTGAGTGCTTTACGTAACATGGTCTCGGGTTTCTCCACCGCTAGGCAGAAGCTTAGACGGCAACAGGAAAAAGCTCCGCACCAATAAACATGTTCGGTTCAGTAGTAAGGCACATTTGCCACAAAAGACGAGGAGGGAGGAGGTTACTTTGGTCGGAGAGCACAGAGCTGAGTTACAAAAAATAAAAATAATAAAGCAAAAAACGAAACAAAAACCCCGTCTGTGCCAAACGGCTGATGGCTCTGGGGAGCGAAGCGCAGGTAAAGCAGGAGTCCAGATAAACCAGAAACAAACACGAGGTAGAAGAGCAAACTACGGCGGCGTATTAGGGCCAATTTAGACCGAGAAAAAAAGGATTAAATTTCCGAAGAAAACGCCCTTGCAGAAATTGATATTAAGCCCAAATTTCTGAGTTTTTTTCTCAGACATTTTTGGTTTTTCAAACTCAAGAAGGTTTATAGGGGTTTTTTTTCTAAATTAATTTTAGAAATCTTTTTTTCTGAAATTTTCGACATGTCAAACTGGGATATTCCTGAGAGTAATCTCAGAATTTCTGAGTTGTTTTTTTTTCTCGAAAATCTACTCCTACTTTTTGTCCCCTGTATTTGCAAAGGCGCTGATATGCAGTAGCAGCAAACCGCAAACAGTGAATATCGAGGTTGTGATTCCCTCCCTGGGTTCCCATCTCCCCCTTTCCTGGACACAAGATTGCAGTTTTAGGTAGAAACAAGTACAAAACTGTTAAAAACCCCCTCCCACCACTGGAATACAAAAAGCACAAGGCCTTAAGAGTACATAGGCTTAAATGTTCTCATTTACAATTTAAGGACATGGCAAAGATTCCTATTTTCAATCACAGTTGGGATTACATTTTTTTTCTCTAAAAAAATAAAACAGTTCATGATTTTTGCTGCTTATATGTAATGCCAGATTTCCCCAAAACACAAGCTGCCATAACAATAACTGGTAGATTTGTGTCAACAGCAGCCATTGCACCAAGAGACCAAAACAAACTAACATTATAAGTTAAACTTACACTCACACAATAAACTCGCACACCTACTGCAGTTTGAGGCCGGTTTATCAGTCATAAATAAAAAAAAAACTAACATTAGATTAACCATCCCAACAAACCCAATATTTCACCTTTTACATACCAAAGAACAATTCTTATTATTTTTGCTGCAAAAAAATAAAAAAATTTTTTAAAAATTACATCTGGATTTTGTTTTGACCCCATGATTGTAGTAAAATACTCAACAAGAAGCTGCAACTTCTTCTTTTTCCCCCAAAAAGGCTCAAGTTGGTGCAGTATATGGAAGTCCAAAAGTACCACAACTAAAATAATAAATAAATTGTTAAATAACAAGAGCGATGAATTCAGACACAAATATATTATTTGTGAAATATAATTTAAAATATTTCCAAAGTACATTTGTTTTCATAGTTTTCGTTTTTGTCATTTTACACGACAACAATTTAGGAACTCTACTACCATCGGTATGTTTAGCTGATGTGCAGGTTGACCAATCAGATCAAAGGTTTATTTGATTACCGTCACAGATTAAATTATGCATTTGATGCACTGCAAGCGTTAGCATAAATAAATTAAAAATAAGTATTAATATAATTATTCAAGTTCATTGTGTATTTTAAAAAATCACTTAGATGATGTTTCTATTTTAAATTTGATTTTCAACATGACATAAATAGACAAAAATTAAGTATTAATTTAGAATTTTTTGTAATTGTGGCACTTCTGGCATTCCATAAAAAGAAAGCGTTCAGTCCCATAACTAACAGGAAAGTCAGGCCTTTGCCCTCCTGGCTGGATGAAGCGCAGCCTCTTGAGTAACTGAAGGGACTTTAATTAATTATCAACCCAGATCTGATCTGACAGACTGAGTGACGCAGCTTTCATGGCCGCTCGGTTTCCTTCGTCCACAGCTGTCGGTTGACACACAGAGCTTCTCCACAGCAGCTCCCCGAAAGGTTACGCTTTGACTGAGTAAAGGAACACGAATATGGCATAGTCTTTGGTGCGCCTCACTGCTAAAACAATCTGTTGTCGAGGTAAAGAACTGCTGTTCTGCTTCTAAAAGCGGAACAGGAGCTTTGCTACAAGAAGTTTGACTTCACGGATAGTACCACCAGCGAATCTGCTAATCTCAAATCAAAAATCTCTCCGTAAGCATTTTCCGACACCAAGGCCAAAATGTTACAATGTTTCCAGTCAAAACTGTACTGCAGAGCCTTGAACCCCCACCCCACTTGTTTCTGAACAGCACCCTACTTTGGCTAAAGAAAAAAAAGTCTACGGCATTTTCCATCGCTTAAAAAAAGAAAAAGAAAAAAGAAAACATTTTCAGATTTTCGAAAATAATTCCAGTCACGTAAAACTTGAACAATCAGCATGTGGAATTATAAAGGAGCTTCACAATCACATAAAACTGGTATTTCTGTTCAACGTTAACATACTGTGAGACTCTCATATAAGCCAAAGCCTATATGTACATAGATGTTCATACTAGAGAATCTACATCAGTAAAGGCAGATCTACTCAGTCAAATTCTACATTTGCTGCTTTATTATTTATTTTACATAATATTTAGAATTCCTAATTGCTTTTTCTGAACCATTTCAAAGAAGGTTTGCTGCAGTTTTTTTTGCATGTTCGACTAGAATAGTCAACCTGTTGTTTTTATCAGCTGTCCCACGTCTAATTACGCTGACTGAGCAAATATTTTCCATATTTGACTAAGCTAATGAAGCTATTGGTGTATTTCACTGGCGCAGATTTAGCAAATAAATTTGTAATTCAGCACATTATGTGTTTAAAAAAATATGTATATTTTAAGTCAATTCAGTCGTTTTTCTGCATCGGATCGGATCTAAACCTTAGAAATCGGTATCGATATCAGTATCGGTTGTGAAAAAAGTGGATCAGTGCATTTATAATTCATATGCAAATTATACTAAAGTTGAAATAAATATTTGTCTACTTTGAGGCACGAGCAATAAGTGCATATGTGGTCCCTCGTTAACGAGGGATGAGTGTCATTCAGCTTCCTGTCTGCAGATGTTCAGAGTGTGAATCCAAATCCAAAACCTTCACAGCCCAGATCAACCGGCTGCACCAGACGTTATTATGGAGATCAGGACTTCACCAGAATCTCCATGATGTGGTCCAGTTCATTCAGGTCCAGCAGACACGACTGGAGGCTTCCCGCCGAGGAACGCGGCTTCACGTCGTCGTCGGGCCAGAAGGACACGCTGACCGGCCACAGGGAGCCGGCCGCCCAGGCGGACGGCAGTTCCGAAGTCTCGTACATGGACGTGTCGATGTCCTCGAAGATATCGTCCAGGGCGAGGTCACTTAGGTAGCCCATGGCGCTTCCTGCATCGCTAATGGTGTGACCGACAACGTTGGGCGGGGGTTTCTGTAGGTCCGTGGGTGCTGTGTTTGTCGGTTCAGGGGACAGCGGGGGAGACAGGCTTTCCGCGTCTCCCTCAGTGCAGCCGGGGCACGTGACCGACTCGTCCTCCCTGAAGTCGTCCCTGAGGAGGCGCGCGTCGGGGCTCACGCCGCCGAGCCGCACGTCCGTCCCGTCGCTCCGCATCTCTTCCTGGATCTGCCTGAGCGTGTTGATGAGGAGCACGGAGCGCCGCAGGCTGAGCTCCACGCCGGCCTGGTAGTGCTGCAGCTTCTCCAGGCAGAGGCTGAGCACCAGCTGCCGCTGCTGCAGGTGGCCAGCGTCGGTCCTGGACCATCGGTCCTCTCTGACCTGCTCCTCTGAGTCCTCCAAAGCCGCGTCCGGCCTCTTGTCCTCTGGCGCTGCGACATCGGGGAGATGCTCGGCCTCCGGACCCTCCAGGCTACTCCACTTCCGCTTCACGCCTCGACCCAACATTGACCTGCGGCGATTCATAGAGACATCATTAGGGGCAAAGCATTCGAACAACTTGCTGTCTAGGGCTTCGCAGATAAATCAGCCTCGATTCTCTGAACTTTGGGGGATCAGCCGATACTTACATGTGAAGCTGATCTTTTCTACCTCTGTAAAGGTCTGAAAATCAACCACTGTCCTCTTTTGCTGTGAGAGAGACTGGCAGATCGACCCACCAAGTCTGCATGTTAGCAGTTAGCAATAGTCACCCCACTGTTGCCCACTCAGCAACTTTATTTCAATATTGATCATCGTTTCAGACACAAAAATCAGTAACTGCTAAAATCGGAATTGACAGGTCAGGCATTGTAAAGATCAGCGATCGGCCAGAAAAATCCCATCGGTGCACCTTTAATGCTAACACATGATCATATCTGCAGCCAGACAGCTAAACAATAATATCTCTATCTTCTCAAGGCCAAAATTCAAATTCATTTCAAATTAAAAAACACTTCATTGGTCCCAAAGGGTATGTAAATATTGTCAATACTCATATTCATTCAAAATTTCCTCAAAGAGTTATTGTAGATAAAATGGCTAAGACAGCCTGCTGTGGTTTCTGAGGTTTTCCTATGTGAAATGTTCAGTAGTTTATAACATCCTGTCAAAAAATGTGCTTCATTAGCAGTTCCTTTCGTCAGTGTTCTGCTAAAACTTGTGAAATGGACTTCAGATTTTGATCACCGCGCCTTTTAAAACAGTGTGTCTGTTTATGACACATCAAATTCATCAACAGGTGTAATATATAAAAACAAAACTTGCCTCGAATCCAACAGGCTGCTTAAGCAAATTAGCTAAACTCTTATCAATATCAACATAATCAGAGATTAACATCATAACAACAAATCACGATTTCTATCATGTGTTTTCCTTGACAAAGTAGAAAACATGAAAATTTACCTGAAGTAAACAATTCAGCTCTGTGTAATTTAACCGGCTGCTCCAGACATGCACCCACTGCACCCAGCGTGTTTTCCATCAATGTTTTTTTTTTTTTAATGCCCATTTTGAAGTGCTGCGAAATCACTTCCTCGAAATCATCAAAACAGGTTTTTGCGCTCGTAAGAGGTTGCCGACGGCTCTTGCCAAGAAGAGATAGTGCGCCAAAGGGGAGATGGAAACACAGTAGCTGAATAAGTTCTGATGTGGCAAACTGTCCCCCCCCACTGGCGGGTTTGGGCCTTACTAGAGCCATGAAACCCCAAACTCCCAGGGTTGAGGGGAGAACTCTCTCCGTTTTCCCAATTTGCGTAGCTCAATCCTGTTACTTGCAACCGTTACATCTTGTTTATTACAGCCACACGTAGAGTCAACGTCTCACAAAATGACGCTTTGCGTAGCCTGGTTGATTTGTTCCAAGCCAGGAGAAGCACACCTAATTCAACTTTTCTTTAAAAGACTGAAGTGACTGAGACTGAAGTGAAGGTTATCCTCCCTACATTAAAAACATTTAACCAAAGTTACAGTAGAATAGATTTTGGCCCATTATGGTTTGTCTTTATTTTGTTGTTTTTTTGTCTGAAAAGTCGCAAAATATAGCAACAAAGTCACTAAGTCGGCTACAGTGGGGTGACTGTTGTTAAAGCTGCAGAATGTAACTTTACTAAAAGTGTTTTTTTACATATTTTTTCAAATTGTCACTATGTTTTGACAGCATAATATAAGACACATAATCGAGCTCCTCTCCCTTCTCCCAGTGCTAACTACAGAAATAACCAATCAGAGCCAGGAGGAGCGTGTCAGCTCTGACAATCACTCATGTGTACGCGCTACCCACACCTTCCCCCTTGCTCTCTGCTGCTCTACTGTGTCTTCCTGATGGCAGAGCCTGCCGTGAATGCTCAGACGAGTTAGCATGGCCACCAGTGACGGCGGATAAACACTTTTCCTTGGACTCTAAGTTGTTTCTTCACCATTAGGTCATTGAGCAGCCTGTGTGTGAAGTTAATTGACAGCGCTAAGACCCTCCTGGCTCTGATTGGTTGTTTTTTCACTGTGCATTTCTGCAGAAGGCAGCGGCTGCTAAGGGAGGAGCTGGATTTTTTTCTTTTCTTTTCACAGATTATCAGTCTTTCTCATATTAAACTGTCAAGACAGCTTTAACAAATATGCCTGCACGCGCATGAGCAGATGTGACCTGCTGTGCAGGTCTGCCACTGGCAGAGCAAAAAGGGACGGTGACCTTTGCAGACCGGTGGATAAAATCGGTTTCACGTAGCATTGGCCAATCGTCGATCACCCAATAAATTAAGGGGATCAGGGCCGGTTTGTCGGCGCGCAGCTCGCGGACGGCTGAGCTCAAAGCATTTCCAGGTGTTAAAATGGCCCAGTCAAAGCCTGGACCTGAACCCAATTGAGAATCTTCGACAAGACTGGAAATTCGATCTGCATAGTTTCTAAATGTGCAGTTAGAATGTCAACTTTCTTCAGTTTTGTTATTATTTAAACAAAATCAACAACAAAAAACGGGTCATCTTTTTCCTTTCGTTTCATAATCACGCATCACTTCCTGTCGGTCTGTCACATAAAATCCCAACAGAAAGACCTGTGATGTGAAAAAAACAGAAATAAAGAAAAGTGCCAATGATGTGGACGTGAAGGCTCCAAACATTGAGCTCTGCATCCAGCTTACATAAGAGGCCCAACCAAACATTACAGTGAGTCTCTTGAATCGGAGGCGCTCTGACCTGCTGCTGCAGCTGCTGCAGCTGCTGCTGCAGCTTCTACTGTACATGAACAATCTGTCCCGGCGGCCGCGCCGGCCGGACGCGTCACTGCGAACATTTGAAAGATTGTGACTCACTTGTCAGACACCCTGCAGGCTGACAGACTTTACTGATCCCTCACTGATCCTCGGTTCTCCCTCAGTTCATTTTGCTTTGACAAATGACACGAAGTGACACGAAGTGATACTTTGGCGCCCCAAAGATTCACGTTTCTGTGGGCTGATTTGATTAATAATAATGATGATAATGATAACAATAATCAAAAACAACAACAACAACACAAACAAACAAACCCGAAAGCGAAATAAAGAGAAGCCCGGGATTTGAAACACTGTTTACACGTATCAGCTGTAAATGAGTGCAGTTTGTTCTGCAGCCCGTTTCTCTGCCCAGAACGCAGTGAACACAGCTGACCCTTTCCCCACCTCAGTGAGAACACACTGGTTCCCCTTCAAATTCAAGTTAAGAAAAAGAAAAAGAAAAAAAGCAGCAAAATTTGCAAATAATTGCAGCAATATGAATCTTTAAATGTAACAACCTTACGTGCCCTTGACACTCTTCATGTGCCGCACAAATCCGTCGTGTCCTCGGCTCCTCTTCGTTCCGCCGCGGCGATTCGGCTCTACCGAGATCCGGAGTGTGAGGAATGTGCAGTCCATCCCCGGCGGCGGGGAGGGGGCGGAGCTTCGGGGAGTGGGCCGCGGGACACCGGGGCTCACGCGCCGAGATTGACTCGCTCATACGTCTGTCAAGCCTCCGCCTCCGCCACTCACGGGGCAGCGAATGTGCGGCGTCTCGTGAAGCGGGGAGGACTGCTGAGCCCTTCAGGCCCCGCTCGGAAATAATATAATTCATGTCGGGCCACACGTGTGCGGTCTCATCAGACGTTTTTTTTCTTTCTTTACGTTGTTAAATACGTTTATTTAGATCTCTAGACGTTCTATAAAACCATATTATTGTTATTGTTATTATTACGAGCTGTTTAGTATTCATTACATCTTATTCCTTCCGACGTTTTATTCTAATACTGCTACGAGCTCGACGTGTTTGTGAAAACTGACAGCACAGGGTGGTATCTTTAACAAGGTAAAACGTGCAAACAAATCATTCATTTGTGTAAGAAGAGAACTTGAAAACCTGAAGAGTTGCCATGAAGGAGAAAAAGTACAGGAGCATTACACTGGTTTTATCATCCATCCATTTCCTGAACCGCCTTATTCAGACTCCAATAACTGCTCTTCGGGTCGGAAACCCGTTTTACCGAGTGCGCAATTAAAATGATCAGTTTAAGAAACATTTGCGTCCAAAATCGGTTCACCAAGAAATTATCGCGTTGGAAATATCTAGAAGGCCAAGGATTCTGCAGTGAGCACCTGAACGCAGCATTTTAAAGAGACAGATGACTCAGAATGGAAGAGGAAGGACGTGACCGGAATAACAGGAAAAGGCACTCACCAAATAAGGCAATTCTGGTTCATCACATTTTCACCTCTGCTGTTCCCTCCTCGTTAGGTTCTCTGATCTGCCTCCTGAACATATTTTACTGTGGTAAGGAAATACAGACATTTGAAAGTCTGAACATCACAGCAGCTCTGGCATTTTGGCTTTCTTTCAGTTTGATAACATGACAGAAATGAAAACTTAAAAAGAACAACCCAAATATATCTCACTTTTATTTATGTCAGGGTCATTAAAGTCATTAAATCTTGGTTGGATTTTGTTACAAATATAAAAATGAAATAAGAAAATATACTTTTCCATCTCTGCTTATTCATATTTCCACACTTTATTCAAATGTGTGACCAGAGATGGGCAGAGTACGCAAAAAATGTACTCAAGTAAAACACTTCATTTTTACTTCATTTTTTAACACATTTTTACTCAAGTATGAGTAAAAAGGTATTTAGTAAAAAACAAAACAAAAGTCTACTTAAATAATGAGTAACTGATTCAATTATCAATCATTTCATAATTAAAAGTTACATCATCAGATGGACCAAAATATAAAATTAAGTGGAAAATTTGATGTTCTAAGGACCAAAAGGACAATAATTCATATAGGCAATACAAAATGACCAAATCAGGCACAATCATTTTTTTCCCCCAAATCAGTTTCTTCCACTATAAAACTTATGAAACTTTAACAAAAACTGCAGGTGTGTATCCGTGTTGGTTAAAACATGTTTTGTTTTTCATTCAAGGTTTAGGGTATCCAGAAATTTGACTCAAGTAAGAGCAGAGACCCTTTGTCACAAGAGACGCTGTCTGTGGCGGCTGGTTTCAGCCAACTGCACCGACACGAAAGGTAAGTGTACATAAACCGCATGTGTCCAGGATATGTGGGGTCTGCAGAGATATTAGCTGCCGTTTTCCTGATGCCGGAACAGAACAGTTAAAAATGTCTTTTTCTTTTTTTTTTATTATGCTGTAGCAGATAAAGGGAACAAAATGAGTGCAGAAAACGACCTCAAATGCTTCAAAAAAAAAAAAACCTGAAGGATTTTGGAGAATATGTAAAATACTCCAATATAAAATACTCAATGGAAGGAGTGCCACAGACTGAATCCTGGGTGATCAAAGCAAGTTTATAGTTAATGACTACTGTAATCATAACATGTCGAGTTTATGAAACCGAGCTATAAGCAAGATAACTTCAAAAAATCCCCCACCTCTGAAAAATGTGTAAAAGATTGTGATTTAACATTTATTAAAAGCACTTTTAGTTTTGCTCTGCACATTAGCAAGAACCAAGCTTTACTTAATGAGTGTTTTCATAATTATCCCTTTGTTTCAACATTCCTGATTAGGAAATGTGTTAGCTGTCTGTGAGGAGTTTTTAATTGCGTCTTGGTGCTCGTTTGGTATTTGGTTACACAAACCTTGGTGTGCAACGTCTTGTGCGGGCCGAGCCAGAAGCGGACTTTGGTTGCTTTTTTTTTTTGTTTCGGATTTTTCACTTGTTGCAGTTTGCTTTCACATTGAAAGCTGTGGAACTGAATCGCTGCACCCTGAGATGGAAAACCTTTGCCCCACTGTCAGGAGCGCCTCCTCCTCATGAACACGCAAAAGCACATCTTTCAAACTTGTCTTTTAGATGCAGTGAAGGGAAAAAAGAGCTTTTTTAAAATTTTTCTTCAAAGAATGCAGACACTGCCGTTTACTGAAGAACATGGTAAATCCCTTTCCTCTACTTTCTGAGGCGTGGAGTTAAATTTCTTAGTTTTTCGAGCTCTGCTCCCGACGTGTGCGTGGAACTGACCGCCGTAAAGATTTTTATGCTCATTTATTCTGTTACTTTTGAGCACAACTAGATGTGACGGCGTACTTTGTGTGATTTTAGGGATAATAGCAAGTGCTACCAGATATCCCAGCACTTTGTTCTGCTCCAGTTGGGGTGGTTTTCCTCACTCTGCCTTTTTCTTTTCCTTCTTTTTGTGCTGACTCATCAAGAAGCCTTTTATCCATTTCTGCACCCAGACAGCCAATCCAAGTGAACGAAGGCACATGGAATTTCATGAACAAACGTCCTTTTTCCTGTGCCGAGGGACACCGATGCAACTTCCCTCCTACGTCTTCCCGGTTTAAGAACGGTGAGGTCTTAAACCTCACCTGCACAGTGAACGTGTCAGGTCAGCCGTCTGCTCTGTTGATCCTCTGCATATCTCGTGCGGCGTGTCATAGTCTGACGTCTTGCGACGGCACGTGAGGGCAATGGTCTGGAGCTTCCTGCTCCAGTTCCTCCCAACGTCAGGAGCACATTTGGTGTTCAGGATCCAGTTCACTCAGAGTGGTTGCAATCGAATCATTTGTCTTGCAATTTCTTGAATAACAAGTTCTATCATCGTCCCAGTCGAGGCGTTGCGCCTTCGGTGGCTCAGACAAAGTATTCACACTTGAATCTTTTTTTCTACATTTTGCAACATCAAAACCTCAAATTCATAACTAGGATATGCATACTGATGAGGCAGATGATATCTTTCTGAAAACATTTTTCGTTAAGCCCACTTTTCTGTATTCAATGTGTTTTTAATTCATGGGCTGATGTGACGTTTTCATTTTGAATTTTGTTTTCTTTAGCTACAAGTGGGAAATAATCACAATAAACTGAAATACGTCATTTCAAACATCTATCTTGGTGTAATTTATGTTTCACTTGGTGATAAAGTTCCTGAATTAAATGGATTTTCCAATAATATTCTAGTAAAGCATATATATTCTGTAAAACAGTGTATTTCAAGTCGTTTTTAATGAATAAAATTCACATTTTATCACCTTCCTGAAACATTGACCCTCAAAAACAGGCGGTGACTTTTTTAAATCTTTTGCCAAAATAATTTTGGCCAAAGATATAATTTAGGCAGTTATTATAGGAAGGTGATGCTTTGTGCAGTGCCACTTTTACTCCGCTAACTAAATAAAATCCAGTCAAACCACTGGATTATTTCTCAGAAGTTCTTTAGACATTTACAGCAGGATTGGTTATTAAAATGAAACACCAAGGACAAAAGGACAAGTTTTTGAAAATCTCAAAACTCAAATTTCTGAACTTTTCTTCGAGAGAATTTCTGAAATTAATCTCAAAATTAGAGGGGAGGGGGGTTGCAGCTGCTTTCCAAATTTTCAAACTCAGAAATTTCAAGCGTTTTTGCTATAAAATTTCTGATGATTTCAAAAAATTTGAGGTGTTTTTCTGGTGGAAATTTTGCTCCTTTCATCCTCAATTATCTGAATGTGCCATAGTACCGTTTTCTGTACTTCAAGCGTTTAAGTGGGACTTTAAGGTGTAGCACAAGCGCCTGCTGTGGAGCTGCTAAGGAAAAAGTCGGGAAGCAAGCGACGCATGTCAATAGTTGCACCTTTTATTATAAAAAATATGTACAAAGATGCTACAATGTTTTTTTGATATAAAAATGCATACATTTTACAAAGATAATTACGTCTTTGAAGTTCTAGCTCCTATTCAGACTAGAGTGACATCCTTCAGGAGTGTTGTGGTAAGGTATTCAGCGTGTTGTAATACTGTATTTTAATCAATACATTTCATTTGCCTGAGTTCATGTTTTATTCACCATAAGAAGCAATTTGGGAAGAAAAAAAAAAGAAAAAAAAAAAAAAACAAAAAAACGTTTTTTATTTTTCTACAGATTTGGAGAAAGAAGTTTTTGCATAATGGAATTTAAGGACATTTGAGTAGTTATACAGTCATTATGAAACACATATGACAGAGCTGCATAGTAACTTTATTATTAACCCGGTTATTATTGTTTTTCTTTTTTTTAAAACTAATAGTCATAAAAATTACGAATAAATAGGTACTGCATTTTAAACCGGGAAAAGATTTTTTTTTCCGATAAATACAATTTCACCGGGCCTGGTGGTTGAATTGATACGTCAATATGGCATGTCTGTACCTAGATAAAATAAATACAATAAATAAACAATAAATTAGATGGGTTAACACAGAGGATTTATCATTTGTAGTAACAAATGAGGAAAAAAAAAAAAAAAAGGAAAAGAAATATGGCTTCTCGATGTAGTTTTCCCCCAGATGCTTTAGGAAAGAGAGAGAGAGAAATAAAAGCTGCTTCTTACCATTATTGGATCTGTATTAAAAGCGCAGCAGCCAAACTACTTCATTTGTCACTTGGATACTGTAAAGTGAAAAAAATAACAAAAAAAAACTCCTGAGCCACGTCTGGTTCGATGGCTGGAAGTGAGTTCCTGCTCTGCGGTGAAGCTTCAGCAGAAATGAAAGAACGGCGCGTCGACAGTCCATGGGAAGACACTGCCTCCAGTCCGGCTACATTAAAACCATTAAAAACCGCTTGGGACAGAAAATAAGAATATCAAATGATGCTCGCAAAATCCCCCCCCCCCCTCTCCCACCAACCCCCAGCAAGCCGTATAATGCAAAAAAATATATTTCTTTATACACATACGTACATTTACATATAATCCATTCATAACTGCTCAAATCTCTAGGAAAATATGCATTGATTCATAGATTTGGATTTACAATTTGTTCTGTTTCGGTGCATGTAGTGTGGCGAGTTGTTCCTTGGTCCATGTAACAATAAATAGAGCTGGACGTAAAAAAGGCAAGAGTCGGACCAGAAGGAGCTAGAACGAGACGGAAACGACAGGAAGTCAGAATGCATCGCGGTGTAGGTAATTATCTTTGCCTTCTCACAGACAGTCGCAGGTTTTGGACTTTTCGTAACCCTCTCGCTGTCTTAGCACGGCGCACAAGGGGATGTTGACGGTTGGAGAGAGTAGAAGAGAAGGGGAAAAGAAGGGGCAAATAAAAAACTCTCAAACTCTCCTAAGACCGCGGGAGGGTTTGACAGAGCGGGACGCTAACTTTGCTCCCTGGTCATGTGGGTTAATAAAAACCCAAAGTCATTCACTCCTCTACAGTGAAAGAGGACCTTCTCCATGATTACCCCACCCCTCGCTCCCCACCTTGTTCCCAAAACCTGGAAGGATCTGTAACATCACCGACACGCACGTTGTGCTGTGCATAGTCTGGGATCGCGTTCAGGAGCCCACGATGATCTCCATGATGTGGTCCAGTTCGTTGAGGTCGGACCTGCAGGTGGCGCTGGAGCTCAGCGCCGTCGGCCCGTGAGAGGACAGGCTCTCCAACAGGTCGTAAGGCCCCATTTTGGGGGTGCTCTGCATGCCCGTCAGCACCGTGTCCAGGTCGTAGTAGGACGGGTCTACGTCAGAGAACAGCTCCTCCAGCGCCGGGTCGGGCGGCGGCGCCGGGTGCTTGATCTCAAAAGTCCCGAAGACCTGCTCCCCTGTCCTGGAGTCCGCTCTCAGGTGGTGCCGCTCAGCGTCCTCGCCTTCCGACGCGCACTCCTCGCTGTCCTCCTCCTCATCCTCATCGCAGTCGCCGTCCTCCTCGTCGTCCTCCCAGCAGGGCCCCATCCCGAACGGCCCCGCCAGGTAGGTCGCCGAGGACAGCTGAGGTGAGACGGGCGACAGGGACGACATGGCGACCTCCGCCTCGGCGTCCCCGTCCATCACCACCTCCTCCGAGTGGTAGCCCTCCTCCAGCCCGGACACGGAGAAGGGTTTGGGGCTCTGGCCGGCCTGCGCTGCCGCCGCCGCCGCCGCCGCCGCCGCCGCCTCTGTCTGTCTGCACAGCACCTCGGTGGCCACCAGGCGGTCGGCGGGGCACTGGGCGGCCGCCAGGGCCTGGGTCATGATCTGCCAGGTGCCGTCCTGGGTCATCTCCTCCTGGATCTGCCGCACCGTGTTGGCAATGAGCACAGAGCGGCAGAGGTTGGGCTCCACCAGCATGTGGCAGAGCTGCAGCTTGATCAGCGACATGTCGAGCAGCGACTGCCGCTGCAGGCTGTAGGACGACGACAGCGTCCGGGCCGCAGCGGGGGACGGGGCCGGTGCGGCCGAGGGGCCCTGATCACCGCCGCCGCCACACACCGCCTCCTCTCCGGAGTCGGAGAACTTGCGCTTGGTGCCCTTCGGGAACATGATGTCTCTCTGCTGCAGGCAGGGAGGGAAGAAAACGCAGAGTGAGAACTACTGACAGGAACTCATTACGAACAAATTCACAACCATAAAAGTGTTTCAGAGTTGCACTGGCTAATTTAAGTGAGGAGAAAACTGTGCTTTGAATAAAGAAATAGTCACACCGCTTGAACTTTTTCACGCTTTATCACATTACTGTCAGAAACATCAGTGTTTTAGTGGGATTTATTGGAAGCAGAACAGAACTGAACTGAAAAGAATCTAGACACGTTTAAAAACTGTATTTGTATTAAGCACCACCAGTTAATACTTTCCCTCCAAATATAGATGCATTTTTTCTCCAACAACTTTGAACATCTAGACGACGGATGCACGATATGGACCCCAGATTCATCGTATGTTGGGTTCATGGTCATTTATTCTACAGTATCTTTATCTCTATCTGTCTATATTAACCATTTAAAATATTTGTATTGAACCAATAAATAAATCTGGGCTGATATTAACAACCAATATTTAATTCCTTTTGTTGCCATCTGTGTCTGGAGGGCGTCGCATGAAAGTGACAGTGATGCAGCAAAGGATTGTGGGGAGTTTAACTTGAGAGGTGAAGTCAGTACTGTGGTTGCTTTCGTCAAGGTGTCAAAATGGTAGGGATGTTCAAATCTAAAGTGTAAATATCAGTTATCGGGCCCAACAGCAGTATTGACATTGGATATTGATATCGGCCCAGTTTGCACATCATTGCATCCCTGACCAAGAGATCAGGGAAGTTTTTGTCATCTGTTTACAACCCATCTTAGGAAGAGAAGTAGTTCCTCTAACAAACTCTGCGGATGCACCAAGGCGGCCCTCTGGGTAAAAAGGCGGAGCTCGGTGAGAACGAGCATTCAGGTTCAAGAATTTCTCAAACATGAATGAAAGAATCAAAGCAATATATTAGGTATGTTTTGATGAGGTAATAATAATAAAACACGACGTAAAGCTCAATTTTACATAACACCGATTCTTTAAAGACTGCCAAAATCTTGAAACTGGAGAAGATTTTTATTTGGAAAGCAATACTATTTTCGTCCTGCTTTACAATTTTGCCCAACTTTGCCTGGCGCTTTCACATTTAAATCCCAATAAAATTCTTTAAAAGGAGAAAAACCCATTAAGTTCAAGGGGTGTGATTACTTTCACTAGGTACTGTAAGTGTCGTGTAATTACTCAAATTAGTGACAGATGTAATGAGGTTAGAGTGGTGTAGTAATATCTGTGTGGACAGAAAAAAATCTGCTTAAAGCAGTTGTGACATAAATAACTTGCACAGAAAAAAAAAACAAAGAAGAAAAAGCTGCAACTCTGAACTACAGTGATAAGTAAATGATTGCGTTTGGGATTTCCTTAAAAGTTTGCTATACCTTTCCTGTTGAGAGGCACAGGCAATAGCAATGCAGCTCGGTCCCGGCTGCAGCGCTTCAAGTACTTTTGTACGCGCGACAAGCAGCTTTTGTTCAGCACCATTTCTGCCCATTTTAGGCCAGTCTGAAGCAAGACTCCTGCTGGGCGGAACAACCACACTTTTAACAGACCGCTGAGCCACCGAAAATAGCATGGTTACCGACTAAATGCAGACGCTGCATCAAAATAAGCACAGACTACAGAGAGCTTTGTCAGTAAACACAAACAGCACTCAGGTTACAAGTATCAGTGAAATGATACTGGTTCACATGGCAACCTGCGATCAAGAAAAATGAAAAAAGGAGAAGAAAAAAAGAAAAAGAAAAGAGTATTTATCTGCTGATCAATACCTTGCGACAAATGAGTAAAAACACAGAACATGAAAAATAAAGACATTTGTAATTTATTGTATAACACACCACCATGACTCAGTGATATTTACAAGGGGAATCGGGTTTCCGGGCCTACACACGCAAAGACTTTAAAACTAGCAGAACAAGATATTCACTTTCTCTTCACTGAGGAGGGGGAGGAAAGAGAGAGAGAGAGAAAGAGAGAGAGAGAAAGAAAAAAATCAACTTCCTTGTTGAAATACCACTTCAACACATTTCTTTACAGGAAGAAATCAACACTGTCCAATATTAATAATAATTTTTAAAAAAGTCATCTGAACTCCTAAATGAACATGATGGACTCAAACAGAAGGCTGAGCGCTGAGCTGCATTTTAGTTTTCCAGACGGAAAAACAGTGTCCAGCTGTGTCTCCTCTGTAAAACCTGTGGGTAGGGCATTTAGGTCAATGAAGCCACTTGTGCTAATGTTCCATTCGTGAGACTTTTTTTTTTTTTTAAATAACCATTAAAAAAAAACAACACATTTCTGAGTAAAATTGCATGTATTGATACAGAAAAAGCACAGCAGTTGAACCTTTAGAAAGCAAAGTGAAACTAAAACGCTCTACAAACTGCTGCTCTCCTGGTGACGGTCACAACTCTGTGTCAAGCAGCGAGTTCTTTCTTCCTTTAAATTTTAATTATGGGATGCCACAATTCTGCTATTAAGCAAACACCTCAAATTAAAACGACAATATACAACATGGAATTAGAGCCTAATTTCTACTCACAAACTTTCACACTGATTACACCAATGAAATGGATACACACAGTATAAAAAACAATATCACTGTGTCGCACTGATCGGAGTGAGTGAGCCAAATCAGCAATATTTCAAGTTATAATTAGAGATGCACCCAGAAATTAGCTGGTGACAAGAGGACTTTATTAACTTTTCTGAAATTAATAGGTTATTTTCCAGTCAGACACTCAAAAATTCTTTTTTTCTCCCCTCCCCCAACCAAATAAGTGACCTCAACACAACCAGTTTGCACTAACAACCAGCCCCATTTCGTCCGTGTTAATCAAACTCCAGTCCGTGTGCCTAGAAAGTCTGGTTCATTTGGGAAAGTGTGAATGCGTAAAACTTTGGTCCGCCTAAAAGCTTAGGTCTCGCTTTGGTTGAAGTGAACTCTGGTGCAGTTTGAATGCTTATGTGAACGCCAAGAGGACCGGAGAGCACTCCACAACAGGAAGCATGCTATAGCATGGGGCATTCTGGGTAAACTCAGCTGAAGCAGATGTGTGAGTCTAGCGCTAATCTGACGCCACTCCATTTTTGTTTACATTTTGTGAAGAAGGAAGTTGCGCTCTGTGTCTTCTTTAGAGATTTTCATATTGGTTTCCTTCAGTGGTTCCTGGTGCAGCGCCACCTCAGGCGAGGAGGTGAACAGATTTTTCAAAAATTTGGTTCATTTGAGGCAGTAAAGAGCAGCAGCTGAAAATGTAACAAATGCTGCAGTTTCTATTCCCAACTGAACTATAGCGTGGGCACACTTACTCTAGGAAAAGGATGTCGAAATGAGTTCTTTTCAGTATTAGTGAAGCGTTCACAAAAACTAAAGAAGGAGTATAGATGTAAAAGGATTCAGAAACAATTATTTTTGTCTATCATCTGCTTTTTACACTTAGTAGTGCTAACCACAATATGGCAACACACAACATTAAGGTATGCCTGAAGAATTAGCTCAAAATCTTCGTTTTAAAATCTAATAAAATCCCATATTTACTGCAACTGCTCTCTCTCTCTCTCACACACACACACACACACACACAGTGGGATGTCACTGCTGCTGCCGATATAAATAATTAATGCTGGCACATGGCAAGAAGGTATAGTTCTTAAAAAGAACTACACAAAGCTTTAAAAAACAAAAAAAAAACAATCAGAATTCAGCCACAGCTCTGTGATTGGTGCATCTCTAGTTATAATCCATTTACATCAATGGCTCCAACATACACAGAAAGGCCTTTTGAGTCCTTCCTTCCCTAAAATGACATTTCCTGGCAATAGACAACATTAGGATACAAATCATTTAGAAAGAGACCTACAACCCAAACAGTGAGAAATTAATCATGGATGTGTTAGCAAAATACGTCAACAAGGTGTGAGAAATTAAAACAGAAATCAAAGACAGCCAGGAAGCCACGTTGCTAAAAGTGCCATGACTCTTGAAATGCACTTCAGATGGTTTGTACCACATTAAATCAGCCCCACATGTATTACTGTTAAAACTTTCGCAGGTGTCAGTTTGTATTGCTAACACTACTTTGGCAAATGACAACAGATAAATCCCTCTGACAGCTAAATTTGACTATTTGATACATTTTGAATTTTTGTCTGTATAATTCTACAATGATCCTAAGGCCAAAGCAGCTCAATAGAAATTGCTCTCTCTTTTCATAAAGGTTCCATTAATATTAAATTGGGTTGTAAAGAAAACCGTTTAAAAAAGTCTAGATTCTTAATACCAAAAGGTTTAAGTTAGCGATGAAAGCAATTTGAAGCAGATGCTAACTTAGCGCTAGTTAACCGTTAGCTAGGCACAGTAAGAGGGTGATGTCAGCCAGATGGATAACATCTTTATTATTCTCGTCTTTCACACAGCCATAAACAGAACTACTTCCTGTCTTACTTCAAAATAAGAGTCCTAACTCTCAGGGGTGAAGTTTAAGGCACTGACCTTAAAACAGGGCGGGGTTTGATAATAGCTTTGACTGAAATAGCAACTAGATTGCGCTTTGCGCTGGAATGCATTTTAATATCACAAGATGATATAGTAGAAGACGTACATATTATCCTATTTTCGTTCTACAAGAAATTCAGAAAAGTTTATTGTATTAAATTTTGTTTTCTGCGACCCCGACTCCAAGTCAAAAATGCTACAAAATGTGACCAGCCAAAACGGGTGTTTTAATCCAGATATTTTTTTTTTTTACTTTTAATTAGAGTTAAATTGTTACAGAGAAATTTAATTGTTTTCAATGTAAAATATTAAATTGAACACAAAGTATGTTTTTTTTTTCATTTAAATTCTAACTTTTATTCAAATCGGACTTTGATACACTCAGAGTCAATTTGATAGACTTGGCTAAACAAATTAACCAAGTTTGTACTACTTTTAGTACAACTCGGAATGGACTAAATTCTACAGTATTTAATTGGATCAAAAACAAAAAACTTCAATCTTGGAGCCTTCATCACATCAAACGAGGAAAAACCCTTTAAGTTTTGGAGCTGTAATGATTTACACCTCCCATTCAGCACGACTTTAATTTTCTTTCTTTTCTTTTTTTTTTTTATTAAATACTGATTTTTTAATTTATTTTTCCAAACATTGAGTTGATGTTTTTGGCTCAAATGAAAAAAAAAAAGTTTGGACGCTGGTGTCTTGGCAGCAACATTTATGGTGTCCAAAACTCTTTTATGGTATTTAAATTTGCACTTCATCAAGAGGATTTCAAAACTAATTGTGTTCAAATATATTCCACGTGCAAAGAAAAACCACGAAGCAATTGCACATATTAGTTTGTTTTTTTAATCTGTTACATTGAATAGTTTCCACTACAAATGCCTAATTTGGGTGGCTAAGATCAAGATCATTTACACGACAGTTTCATTAACATTTATGCGAGGGCCATCTTCATACAGGTCATTTATATCCAGCTGGGGTCACTCCACGCAAGATTTTAACTGTTTGACCCCAAAATGGAGACTCGTGCAGCACTCTGGCTGCATCAGGAACTTCTTTAAACAACAGCGATAGCGCTCGATTTTGACACTAGCAGCTCGGCGATGCTCGGATTTGTCGCCAGCAGTTTTATGCGGCTCTGAATGTAAACACTAAAGTGTTTAGTCGTCCAGCGCCTTTGGGGCCAAACAAAATACAGCCTCGCTTTACGTCAATGGCTCCTCGCGCGGCCCATCCCCCACCTCACTCTGAAAAACCACCACTTTCATACGCCGCCGTATCGCCGGAATAAACGAGATTTAAACACGGCGGCCAAAGTGATTTCTCATTTCCCTGCCGACTACACCTCGTTTTCTCCACGAGTAACCGAATAAAAGCCGGTGGGGACCAGCGCAGGAGCGTTTGAGGGCTGCTGGCCGTGACTGCCGCATGCTTTGTCTTTCCAGCATCAGAGCCACCGAGCGACAATGAGGCCATTTTGCGCTGGGAGCTAACAGCCGGCTAGCTAGCCTCCGGTTCTGAGCCGCGCTCACGGAGCGCTTCCCAGTTAACCGTTCGCTCTCGCAGTAAACAAATTACCTGCGCGGAGCTGTGAGGCTCTCGGCTCGCTCCGTTTCGCAAATAAACGCTCCAAAGCTGAACGCTAGGAAACGGAAAGCTAATGAGCTAAAAGCGCCCACCCACCCATCCTCCTCGGTCCTTCCTCCTTTCTGGCCGAAAACAAGAGTTTTCGCCGCGACTGGGCTGTAAAGTTCCTAAAAAATAACAGCCGCTCGCCCCAGTGCCTGCTTAAACACGCCGCTGCCGGTGGTCGGGGTCGCCGTACTCACCTCGTGTCTGTGTTATTTTACTCCCGTCTCGGTCATAGGATCGACGGCAGAGAAAGCGGAGATCAGGTTCAGATGAGATCATTCATGCCACGGCTTCAAAAACTGAAGTACCTCCGTCCTGCTGCTGCTGCTGCTGCTGCGGATCGGACGGCAGGAGGGAGAGAAAGGAGGGGGAGGGGAGCCGACAAAAGCCAGCCATATGCCTGGGATTCCTCTCTAATGATTTCTCCCTGCTTTTCCCCTCCACTGACACTTTTAACGAACAACTGAAAGCCTACGATTATATGTTTTGCGTAGGTTCAGCTCATTTGAATCCGTTTTTCACCGCGATTGAAACCACTTAACATGTAGCAAACATTGGTGAAGAACCCTGCGTATACGTGCCATGTTAAGTTACAAAATATTGTTCCACATTTTATTTAAACCTACATTTCATCATAACTATAAATACAAAGGAAGTCATTTTTAAATGAAAAGGAAAAGAACAAGATCATCCCTTTCGTTTCCATTGAAAACAGAGAAAAGTGTCCAGCATGGATTTTTCGTACCCCTATATTCTGATACCACTAAATGAATCCAGTTGCTTTCAGAAGCAATCCACCACTTTGGTCCCATGGAGCACTGTTCACCTCATCGACCTCAAGTGGAAGAAAAGCACAACATATATAGGAAAATATTGCAACACAATCAAGTGGATATATTTCCTTCAGGCGTTATAAAGACTCTCCACACATCCAATATGAATTCAAAGAAATTAATGCCTTGAAATTGGGTCTCTGTTTCTTTAAAAACTTCTATTCCTTCTGAAGCTCTGCCTTCAGGAAGTCGTCGCAACATCTCTCTATTAGTCCTTTAACTGCTTTTTAACCATTGAGAAGTAGCTAGAGGGAGGCGTTTGCTAATCGCTGCTGGCTAGTCTGAAGGAGCTGAATGAAGTACAGAGGGAGGGCTGCTCTGTGAGGCAGGCGGAGGTTTGGAAACTGTACCTCGAAGGTGTTGCCAGGTCCAACCAGCTGAATGGAGATTCAAGAATTTCTCAAACGTGCTTGAAACAAATCAAGGAAACACTCCGGTTATCTTTTATTGATGAGGAAATCTCTTTATAACGTGATGTAAAGCTCAAAAGGTCAATTTCACATAATACTACGGCTTAAAAACAAAACAAAAAACATCTGTTACAAATAGTCTGGGTTCAGCTCATTATCTCTATTGAAACATAACCTTTAAAATACAGTTTCGTAATACTTTGATCCAAAAATTATACAAATCTTTACAGTTATTAACTATTCATGTTGTGTTGAACACTTTGAGGTATGAAATAAACTTCAAAGAAGGATCTTTGAATGATTAAACATGCAGACATGTGCCTCTCACAAGTCAGAACGCAGCATTGTTAAATGACAATTTGTTTGCAACATGTTAATTCAACGGTACAAACCCACGGCCTGCAGATCAAACATCACTTCTGCTTTTCTGACGCCCAACTCGCCATTTCAGCCTGTGATGCTTTATTGGAATAGTATTGGAATTAAAAAAAAATAAATAAAAACATGACTTTGGTTATGACATGCCAAACTATTGCTTGTTTTTATTTTTGCAGGTGATTGTTGCTGGTCTGGTTGCCCTTTCTATATTTCTCCATTTTCTCACTTTCTGTAGCTTCTCACACATTCTTTTTAGGTGTATCATTGTTTTTCTTCTTTCCCTATTTTGCAATGATTCCAACTAAAGGAGTGACCTAGTGCTGATACATATGAATCAGCACGTGGGCGGGCCAATCAGATCTCAGAGGGTGGACGGGGACTCTGCCCCTGAGTCCACAGCCTGTCTTGTGCCTCTCAGAGCGCTCCTACAGACTAGCGGCAGCACCACTCTGCAAACACCTGGTGGAACTGAGCTCCTCATAGAACTGCTTCTCAGAGCAGCGCTCCTAAAAAAAGGTTGTAACTGACACAGTGGAGGATGATGACCTGTTGATTGCAGAGCGTCGGAAAGAGCCAGAGCTTCTTAAAGAGACAGAGGTGTTAAAATGCAAAGTCCAATTTATTTTAAGCTATGAAGTGACATATACTGCATTTTGTAGAGTCAAGTAAAGGTGGCGTAGTTACTTGATTGTGGAATAAAACGGTACTATCTGCCTGGAAAATATATAATATCACATCTTTAACGCAAGTTTTTATGAGTTTATAAGGTGTGAACAGACAAAGACAACTTTCATCCATGAAAACAGATTTTCTGTTAGAAAGGGTGGATTGATTTTTCCATGTTGGAGAACAGTGAGGGTTGAAGTTATGTTTATAAATCAGCTCCCAGTGAGAGGAAAGCTACTATGCATAGCTTCCGGCAATTAAAATCACATCATAGCAGAAAATAAATCCCGCCACCCCTCACCCCCGACATATAGAAGTATAAAACTCTATATAAATAACCAGAGTGCTAATATAAAAAAGGTCTTAACATTCCCGAAGCAAAACTACCGCTCATATACACAACTTCCGGTCGTGTGTGCGTGTGTGGAGGAAGGAGGGGGGAACGTTTCTTTTTTTCACCTCTTTCTACAAAGTTCCGTTTCGAGCATTTTCTATGTTCGGAGAATAAACGCAGGAGCACCGCCAGAGGTTTCTAGAAGCAGCAGCGTGCGGCGGACATCCACCGGCTGACTGACAGACAGCGAGACCTCCCGCTTCAGGCTCCGGCCCCGCTTTCAAGATTCCGCTCTGATTATTATTTATCCGCACACATGGCGAAGTGGGGAGAAGGAGACCCTCGCTGGATCGTGGAGGAGAGAGCCGATGCGACGAATGTCAACAATTGGCACTGGTGAGACAACATGAAAGGACACTTACTGCCAGTTAGCTTGGAGCCGATGCTAACCGCACGCTTCGAGGTGGTTTTTCCTCCCAAACCGCTTCTGTGTCACGTTCCTACAGTCGGGGGGAGATTAGCAGTCCCGTAATTAACTGCAGCAAAACGTCTCAGTTAGCGGTAAAGCGTTTGTTAACGTTGTTCAGGTTCGCCTCGCATGTAGCCACCGAGGCTTTCCATTAGCTGCTTACCAGCTAAAGCTGTGTCTGTTGCCGTTACATTCAGTCTGCTGTGTCGCTACGGAGCCAGTTTGCTCATATTGGTTATGCTCATAGTGTCACTCCAGACTCTAATGTGACTCTACACCGCTTGTCGAAAATGTGACTTTATTTTTTGTCCTCCACCCTTTTATTATTTCGAGGAATAATCAGATGACTCCCACTGCTTCCCCTCACTTTTGATCTTCGATTAGATAATTACCTTTCATCTGTCAGTGATTTATCTCTATGAAGAACCACATTGTTGTTTGTTTTCCTCAACCGATTCGTTTTTGTTGCATTTGAAATGAAAGCATCAAGGAGTGCTCTTGGATTTTTCTAAATCATGAAGTGACTTTTACCTGATGCCAGATCATGCTTGTAGTTTTGAATTTAAAAGTTACATTCTTGATTTTCTTTGCCCCAATCTACGCTAAATTGTGACAAACTCCAAAAATCTAATAAAATCGTTTTAATATAATTTCCTAAAATGTTCGACGGGTGATATCAGAAGGATCTCCCCTTTTTTACGGCTAAAATAAATATCAACTTGCAGATTCGTAATAGTCGCTTCATCCAGGCAAAAGATCGTACTTGTTACTGTGGAATATGATGTTTTACCATCAAAGCCAGTCAAACTGATCCGACCTCCAAGTTCTCGGGTGCGAAAATGTTCAGAGGTCAAGAGAAGATTTTTACCCTCCAATCATAATCATGTCAACTCGACATGTTTGTCTCTCTCTCTCTCTCTCTCTTTTTTTTTATTTTTTTCAATCTTCAGGACTGAAAGAGATGCAACAAACTGGTCTTCAGATAAGCTGAAGTCTCTGCTGCTCGGGCTGAGCGTGGAGGACGACGAGGGATCATGTGAAGTGACGGAAGTCAGCAAGTTGGAAGGAGAGGCCTCGATTAACAACCGCAAAGGGAAACTAATTTTCTTCTATGAATGGAACCTAAAAGCGACCTGGACCGGTGAGTGGAAAGCAGGGTTTGAACTGAGATCGACACACAGCAGCTGCTCCGTTCGTCGACTTGGAAGTGACACGAATCAACCTTCTGTCGAAAATAAATCTAAAACATTTCAATCTTCTTTTGGGGTAAAGAGCCTTTTTTGTTGTTGTTGTTGTACGTATGTTTTAAAAATGGAAAGTTTTGCCACTTGATGCATCACAAAGTAGATTTACTTTCTGCCCACTCCTTGTAGCCACATGTTTGATCATTTTCATTCAGCTCTTTTTCCCAGACCCCTCTTCTGTGAAACTGTATTTTAACAGTTTCATATGGGGGAAACTTTACAAAACAAACGACTCGTCGATGAACTCTGTGATTTACAAACCTAATTCTGACTGTCTGTTAGTGAAACGGAGAAACACGCCAGCCGGTCAACACCAGTGAAGAACATTTTTGAGGCTTTCACTTGCTGACCAGTAGGTGGCAGTGTCATGAATGGTTAAAAATTAGCTTTCCCCCTTAGCAAATAGTTCAGGTGCAGAATTAGACTTTCTTTTAGCAGATGGAGGAGTTTACGATAAAAATCGACATCTTGCAATTATTTTAGCAATAGAATATTCTGATTATTTGATTAATCTGATTTTTAAAAAAAAGGTTTATTCTATAGCTTTTTCTTTTAACTACTAAGGCCTCCTTTTCTTAAATCAAAAATACATAAAAAAAAATGCGAGCAGCAAAATAATTACTTTTTTTTTGCTTTTACATAAGGAAATGCACATTTTAATGCCTATAATGCAATAACGTAGCAGTTAATCTGAATTGGGTGAAGCTAAAGTTTTGGTGTTTGAGGAGGTAGAAAAGATTTACAGACAAAGGGATTTTTTTTTAATCTTAAATGCAAAATGCATAGTTCATACATGCATGGTTTGGGGTAATCGCTTTTCCTTTTTCAACAAATTACCTTTTTTAAGTTTGTATACTCCACTTAATAATTTATAACTTATTAAAGTAGTTTTCCATTATTTCAGTAATCAATTAATTATGATTAATCCAGGTAATCGTGATTGCTCATGATTAACATAGTTAATTATGATTAATCAGATAAGTTGTTTCACCCCTTCTTACAAGGAAAATGTTATCCACAACATTTTTATTAGTCATTTTTTGATTTTTTTTTTTCAATTGAAGCAGTCTCATAAGCATCCAGTGTCTTTTCCCTCAAAAACTAAATTGAATTTGATGTTTTTTTGTTGTTGTTTTTTTTTTTTTTACAGGAAAGTCAAAAACCGGAGTAAAATACAAAGGTTCAATCGAAGTTCCAAACTTGTCTGATGAGAACGACATGGAGGATCTCGATGTAAGTCAGATAGATGTATGATTTAATGATCCCGAGTGCCTGGTGGTGCTGGCAGTGGTGGAGCGGTGCACTGAATCACGTCCCTGTGATCCGGTTCCTCAGATTTCCATTTCGTTGAGCAAGGACGAGCCCGACACGCCCCTGGTCCACCTGATGAAAACTAAAGGAGCAGAGAAAATCCGGGAGGCTCTGGGGAGTTATGTGGGCTTTTTGAAAACAGGTCTGTAAAGGTCAGGGAAAACCATTCCCGACCCGAGTAGGAAGTAAAACTAATGATTTAATGTCTTATTTTATTATTATTCATCTATTGTTTTTAAAACTGTAGAATTCACGCAAGGGATGATCCTGCCTACCGCTAACGGCGTGGCCAAGCCTCAGTCAGCGTCTCAGTCCAAAGCCAAGCAGGACAAAACTCAGGTCTGTTTCTGTTTAGGCAGAATTTTTCTGGATTAAAACCCGGCGTTGGCGTTGAGACGCAACGTAGAGCTAGACTGATTAGAATGCCGGGTTTTTTTTTCTTTCAGGTTTCCTCAGGAAGCAGCACGGCAGCTCCCGTCAACACTGGTGTCAAAATCCCCACCTGTAAATTCACCATCAGAGACACGTTTCTCACCTCACCGGCTGAACTCTACAGAGTCTTTCTCAACCAGGAGGTGAGTCCATCCTGCTGCTGATCCGCTCACCAAATTAGGTTCCATTTTCTCACCTGTAAATGCTCACCTGTCGTATCTGACACAGTTTTAGGCCTCATCCCCACAAGAATGTTGTTTTGTTTTTTGTTTTCCTCCCCATAAAGAAGGAATACTTTATAGCGTAGTCAAGTATCAGTAACAATATGTATTTAAGTGTGAAATACTGGTGCAGACGTGGCAAATAAAAGTATAATCTAGCACATTTATGTCTGTTAAAAAAAAAAGCTTGAAGTCAATTCAGCACCATTCTCCTGTATCGAATTGGTATGGGCTGATACTAAACCTCAAATATCTGTATCGGAATTGAAAAAAGTGAGCATCCCGAAACAAAATGTCTGTTAAATTTTTGAGAGAAAAAAACCATCCTGTATTTTTGGACAGCAGAAATGCTTAGGTTTTGGATACACTGACATGTTGGCCCAACCTCTACCCTGCTTTATTAGGAATATTGAACAAAAGTCCTTTGTGCAGCTTGTTTTTCTTTTGTCAAATTTTTAGCTTTATTTTTGATCAAATAAAATAAAGAAATGAAGTGACTTATAACTGCAAATGTGTCACTCAACAACAATGGTGGATTACACAGAGTGCTTCCAGCAGTTTCAAGAAGTTCTCCAAAAGACTCCACACTCAGTTTTTGTTCACCATCCATGTTTTTTTCTTCTTCTTCTTCTTCCCTTGAGTCTACTGGTAATCTTGTGTGAATGATTTATGCACATGTTCCATTCTTCTTGTTTAGCGCCACTTTGTGGGGGAGTTAAAAAAGAAAAAGAAAATCATTTGGGGCCATTTTGGGTGTTTCTGTGTGAAAGAAAAAGAATTCTTTTACGGTCCTCTGTAAACGTGAGACCTTTTTACAACGCCAATCCGTTTCAGGGAAGAAGAAGAAGAAACAAAAACGTTCCCGTGTGCGTTAGTGGACAAACGTCCACCTTGTTGGCCAATACATTTTTTTGTTAGTCTGTCTGGCTGGGGGCCATGATGTCGTATCTTTGTGTGTGCAGATGGTCCAGGCGTTCACACGCAGTCCTGCGACAGTGGACGGAGAGAGGGGCGGAAAGTTTCGCCTGCTAGAAGGAAACGTCTTTGGGGAATTCACGGAGCTGGTGAGGCCAACGTTTCCATCAACTATAATGAAAACCTCACTGAAAACTCATGTTTTATTCGGGGCATAATGTCCAACACATGGAGAAAATGGTTGACGACTAACAACAAATCCTCTTGCCGCCAGGTACCTGATGAGAAAATAGTAATGAAGTGGAGGTTTAACAACTGGCCCTGTGGTAGGTTCTTTATATTTTATATTATTTTTTATGCTTCAGAGAAAAACAGCTCATACACAGGCATGATTGACAGAGCTAAGATCCTCCCCTTGACTCTTGATTGGTTGTTTTAGAGTTACATTTTTTATTTTTATTGATTTTGGACAGATTCTGTTGCATTCCACTGTCAAGACTGCAACAACTTTCCATATTTTTTTCATAAATATAAAAAAGAAACATTGTGTATAAAAATGGTACTCCTTATGCAGAAGGTCTATTCAATCTTTTTTATTATTATTATTTTGTGGTGGTTTGAAAAATTAAACTTTTCCCACATTGTGAAGATTTTATTCACATATACTGTCTACATATATATATATATATATATATATATATATATATATATATATATATATATATATATATATATATATAATTAGAATTTTGGAAACTGACTGCCTCTCTGCACCACAGAGCATTACGCCACCGTCACCCTGATGTTTCTGGACCGGAGCAGCGAGACGGAGCTGAAGGTGGAGTGCAGAGGCGTCCCCGACAACGAAGAGGAACAAACAAAAGGCGGCTGGAAGAGATACTACTTGAAGCTATCAACAGACTTTTGGCTATGGAGCACGACTTTTCTGAAGAAGCTGTACTGTAATAACTTGTTTTTTTGTTTTGTTTTTTGTATTTCGCCCCTCAGCCCCCCAGCCCTCTCTCTCTCTCTTTCTCTCTCTTTTTTTTTTTTTTTGGCACAGAAGATTTAAACGTAGGACGAGTTAATGAAACAAACGACTCCGTCACTGTACGTGTAAAAGTTTCAATCGCTGGAAATATTTAATTCGTGAGTTTTTTTTTTTTTTTTTTTCCACGCCCGTGTTTGGCTCGGTTCTCGGAAAAGTGCATAGACGGACCGCGCCTCCCGGGACCGAATAGAAAACGCGGCGGACAAACGAGGAATCCGGTGAACCACTTCCAATTGGCGTTGGCTTCGGTTCGTGAAGGAGCCTAAACACTTCAAAAAAATGGTTCATTTTGTATGTCTTATCTTTTTTGAGTCATTGTAGTAAAGTTGATTTGAACTAAGATGCATGTCTCATTTTAAAAAAATGTTGTTGAGGGGGGATATGAGCTCAAGACGGTGTGTATTACAGCCTCATCCGGTGAGATTGTGTTCATGTACATTACAGGACCAGCATCAGTGAGACTTGAAGCTGGAACATTAAAACTGTTTGTCAGCATCAGGTTTTTTTTGTTGTTGTTCTGTTTTGTTTTTTTTTTCCAAAAAAAGCCGGAGACAGCTGCGTATGTTTGACCATATATGGCTTCAAAAATGTAAATATGCAGTAAAAAAAAAATGCTCTAAGAACAGAATTCCACTATTTATTCTTCACTTCAGCTCAGTACCGTGTTTAAAGAAATAGTTTCTTGGAATAAACAAACTGCTGTAAGCTCTTGCTTAGTTTTATTTACCTCCTGCCTTGAGTTATTTACACATTTCATTAAAAAACAAATGTATATTTACAAGTGCTGTAAAAATAGAAACCCCGATGGCTATTTAAAAAAAAAAAAAAGCACTTATAATTCACAAAGACGGCGAAACAAAATGAAAGATCAATCATTTGAGGGCTTCAGGGGTTAAACAGTTCATGACGCCAACCTCAAATCTGCAGACAAGCAAAAAAAAAGAAAACTTACATTTCACAGTGTAGACTTAAAGTATTCAAGTCTGTGAACAACAAAAAAAAAATTTCCAGTAGCAGGAATCCGTCCTGCGTGGACGTTCTGTTCTTTACCAAAGCTTTGCATGTTGGTACAGATTCAAACTGCTGTGTGAATTCCACTTCTTCCCTCTTGCTGTCCAAAAACAGTCAGATTCATGTAGGCTATTGTCCCGGTAGTGAACAGTGGGGTTTTTTTGTTTTCGTTTTTCTTTTTTGCTGAGTCACTGCAAAGCCTAATGACGTGAACAGAAATGATGTGCTGCTGTGAGGTCCACGTTACAAGCAGATGTAGGGCTCCGACTCCTGGGAGGGGAGAAAAAAAAAAGATGTACTAATTCCCCCAAGGTGCAATACCCTAGTATAACTACAGAGGGCGCATTCACTCAGATATGAACGCAGAGTGCCAATAAGGTTAAATACTTAAAATGGGCATGTATGGCTTTAATTTTGGCCTTTTAATGAGGCATATTTGATGTGAATATGTCTTTAACTCACGGCTTTTTGTAGCCGTTAGAAAGTCGCAGAGATATTTCCAGCCGGAGACTCGGCCGCGTGTCAGAAAACGGTCAAATGTATTCCAATTTATTGTTCCCTGGCGAGGACGCAACTGTTCTGTTCCAACTGGACCAGGCAGACACACGTCCAAACAGGTTTAGGAATAAATAACATAGGCTAAGGGGAAGCCTCCGGAATGACCTCAACCCTGTCGGTTGTTGTTGGTGAGCTACTCTTAAAAAGCCATGCTGGAAAACATTAAATGTGCTCTTCTGTTTGTGATGAGAGCAGCGGTGAAAAAAGGTCCAAACAGAATGTGTCCAGACGGTTGTTGACCAACACAAAAAGCACGTGACACAACATGCAAAGGGACATTTTTGTCCATTTAGCAGCAGTTGGTGTCAGGTGGGTGGAGCGGCTCTACTTCTGCACATTTTCACTCAAGTAGAAGTCCAGGAGTTTACTCAGGAGTAAAAAAACTATTCCATAAAATAAAATAAAAAACTACTTAAGTAACTCATCGGATTTAATATCTTACAATGATGTCATCAGCCAGACAAAACAAGATAGCTTTGTGCAAGTTTGGGAAATTGAACGACTAACATGAAAACATTTACACAAATATAATTAAAAATAACACATTTTGAGCAGCAGAAATTATTTGCCAAATCAATCTGTTTCTAATAGAAATCTTACGAAACCCATTCTGTAATACATCTGCTAGAATAGGGTAAAGTACGTCCAGTCTATATTTGGTGTTTACTTCAAATTCACTTGACCTTCAAACGTCTCAACTGATAAAACATAATGTTAAAAGAACAAAGTCATAACTAGTTCTTCCTACCTGCCTATAAATATGTCTGAGGATTTATAATTTGCTCTCCCACTACAAATTTAAAATTCTGCCCCGCAGTTTTATTTTGGGAATTCATTGAAGTCGTATGCTGCAAAGAAGAACTGTTCAAATGAACCATTGAAAGTCCAAATCAATATGACAGTCACACCCATGATGGACGCCTCTAAACTTTTCACCAGTCCCCCAAACACCCATTCTGCCTCCTGAGCTGCGGGTCGAGTGTGTGAGCGTTGTGCGTTCAGTAACCAGATACTTACGCCTGAGCCTGAGCCGGTTTGGTGTGGGCCGAGGCTCCTTTGGGGAACAGTCTCTCCAGATGGGTTTTTAGTGGCGATGTTGCTCTTTTTGTTCCTTGAAAGACAATAAACTGCATAATGTTACATTTATGGTGAAAACAGGTATCGGTTACTGTTGGAATAATTGTATGTAAGTTATCCCATGTATTGTTTTTCTTACTATGTATGTTGGAACGCTGTAAAACTGTTACTGTGAAGATTGACTATTTATTCTGTTTGATGTGTCCGGAACGAGATTATCACGTACAAGATAATTGTGTTGCATAGAAGGAGTGACAAAAACAATACACATTGTCAAGGTACTGTCTTTGCATCTCCTGAGGTTACAGTTTGTTTGTTGTCTCTCTGGGGTCGTAAAGTTCAGTTCCTGAGACTTTGGGTTGTATGCAAACGACTCATTCTTCCTATCAGGCTGGATGTTGCCCTGGCCATCCGAGGTGACAAACTAATTACTTCAAAGATAAAGAAACACAGATCCCTAACACTTAGTTAGGAAGTGAGAACTAGCACTGTAGCGGTGTGATGAATTGTTTACCCATCCCTTTTAGAGCTACAGTGTCCTTGTGTAACCAGGGGTGACCTAAGGAAATAAAAGGCGTTGAGAGCCAAGACGTACTCAGAGTGTGTTGGAGATTGTAACTGATGTACGTCTCTGGGGCACTCTCCTCGCGAGTAAAACTTAACTGATGTGTTCTGTCTTTCTTTCCAGGTAGTGTTTTACTAATGTTAGTGTTTTAAACCTGACAGTTACTTTGTTTAGAAATCCATATTGACCACAAAACTCTATTAAAGGGGCAGTATTATGTATTCTCCTGGCACATGGTGCTATTTTATATCATAAACAAGTAACTATATTACCTTCAGTTGTTGTAATAATGCTATATGTATCGAATATGACTTAAAAGAAATTTGTCTTTGGAACTTAATGCCTTGAGATTGAGCCACTGTCTCTTTAAAAACTCCTGCTCTTTCTGAAACGCCGCACTCAGAAAGTCATCACAACATGGCTCCGCTATTAAGCCTTTCATGACATTTCTATTATGAAGAAGTAGCTTTTATGAGCGCAGCAGTTCCGCAAGGTGTTTGCTAATTGCTGCTAGCTAGTCTGAAGGAGCTGTGCAGGGGAGGGGTATTTTGTATTCCTCAACCCCAAGTGAGATCCAGAAAACCAGCTGGTGTAGGTCAACAAAGGGTCAAAGAGTGTATATAATTAAACGGCCATTTTACATATAAGAAGTGGAACTGACCTACCTGTATGAGGGAGGCCAAATACTCATGCCTCGGTTGTCCTTCTGGGCTGCTGTAGTTGTGGCTCCCTCTGCCAGGTCTTTGAGAAAATGAAACAGTTTTTCTGACTCTATGCACTGCTTCCTAAATTTAAAAGAAAAGAAAGAAAATATAAATGTGTGTTTTGTTTTTGGGTTTTTTGCCCACTTTTGTCCAACCGCACACAAATGCAGATCTAAACCAAAATTCCCAAAACTCTTGAGAGAGCTGAGCTTCACAGTCCTCTAAAAACTATGTTTATCCCCATCCACCTGTTCCCACCATCCGTTTTCCTTCCACCCAACTTTCCTCTGATTTTTTTCAGAGACAACGCTGTGTAGGCAATGGTCTTCTTCAGTCAATTTTGTGTGGCTTACCCTCCTGTTGGAGGGTGTTGAGTGAACAGTTTCCTCATGACTGTGTAGGTCATAAAATGCCCAAAACATAATATTTATGTATTAAAGATCATCTTTACTTTGATTGTGTGTAGTATTCTAATCGTCGAGTTTCCACCCGCTGTAAGCCATGTTGCGTCAAAATGAACAGAACTCGACTCCTAACATGTGAAAAATCAACCAATGTAATATATGAGTTTTGCTTCTTGAACTGAATAACATTTTCAAATCATACTCTAATTTACTAAGATGCACATGTGTGTATGTTTGTTTGTCTTACTCCCAAAATCCCATCGCACTGCTGATCTGAGGTCAGTGTCACAGGACGACAGATACTCACATGTGAGCCACAGACACGATGTTGTTGAACTTCGCCTGAGTAATCAAACAGGTTTTGGTCAGCAAAGACTTCAGGAACATCTCCAAAGCCCGGGCTGTTTGTTCCAGCTGAGGAATCTGCAGCTCTACAGGAGAGATCTTCTTTCTTTATTTATTTATTTAAACCCAACTCAAGAAGTCTGAGATGTTACTCATTCATTTGTCTTCAAATGGATCACGGATCCCATTTCCACTTGATTTCGTTTATGTGAAATACGCAACATATGCACGACAAGCCGAATTTGAAATAAAACTAGAACAAATAAAGTTTAAAGTTATTCTGAATAGATGCCACAGAGAGTGAAGGAAGAATTAGATTTATATATAAAAAAATATGGGAGTAAAGAATATGCAAATAGATGTACTCAAAAGAAAGCTCGGAAATGTCTTTGCTGATGTTGGCAAAATAGTAAGTTGGTCCAAAGGTAGGTTTCATTTTGATTGATTATCCCCATACTAAATAAAAAAAATTAAAACTTAAAATAAACATGACATTTGTTTGTGTAGGAATAACTTGTAAGCTGTAGGGAGAAAGTATCGCGTCTAACGCAGGTGAGGAAGCTTTTTTACGTATTTGCACTACAACTCCCATAGCTTAGACGGGATGAAAGCCCATGCTCAGTTCAAGGACGTCTGAAAGATCAGTAAAACTGACAACTCAGTCAGTTTTCTTTTCTTTTCTTTTTTTTTTTACACAACTTGAAGGATACCGATGATCACCGGAACTGCCACCGCTATCCTCCCGACTTCTGTGTCCTTCTGCATGATTTTTTTGATGCGACCCTGGAAACAATAACAAAGATTTAAGAAGAAAAAAAAGAGAGCGAGAACAGTCTTCATAAAAACCTTCAGTTTGTTGGAGCTCCGTTAAAAGCAATTCTGTGGTCAAATTGTTCAAATTAATTCGGTTTACTGGCTGACACTGGACTCTAACTTCACCACGGATCGCACAACAAATACACATCAATAGCGGTCGAAACTAAGTCTAAAGCCGACAAGCCAAAACTGCTGGGCTTTTTTTTTTTTACCTCATTATAGTCTGATTCAATATGCTGGCAAGATTTCCGACAGATCCGGTAGTCCTTAAACACAACCCGCGCCCCTCGCCTTCGTGCTGCCCAAGCTAGCTATTAGCTGGTTTAGTTTGACTCTAAACGGCTGATATTTGACGCAGACAGAGCAGTACTCACGGGAGGGAACCGCACGTTGTATTTTTTCTTCTGTCCGGGCATTTTCGTGGCTTGAATTCCCGCTGTTTAGTCACACTTTTCATGTTTTTACAGCAGAGTGCTGCAGCATCCATTTGTTTACTTTTAGGAGGTAGTTAGTGATGAGACGGTAAAAAAAAAAAAAAAAAAAGTGATGTCAACGTTTGACCCCCAGAGGCAACGCAATGATATCTATCCCGTGGTAATGAAAAACACATGAGGTGGAAACAAAACAACAACAAAAATATTATTATTATTATTATAGTTATTATAATCGCAATAATTATTATAATTAAGATTATTATTGTTGTGGTTGCTGCAGCATTATGAAGTCATTAATATGTTTATATAACTTGTTCATTTTCTTGTTGAAGTCAAAAATGATTTAATTGTGAAGTACTTAAAACATAATTGAGCTTAAAGGTGGAAGTTTTATTTGTGTTAAAAAAAAAACAACAACAAAAACAACTAATGATGACAATGTAAAAGCCCGATTTATCTTATTTGGAAGTGCCAGAATAAAGAGGACAGAAAACAAACGCGCCACACTTTTGATATTTTTATTTATAAGCAATATAGAAAGCCATGCATTATTTCCCTTGTAAATATTAACACTTCCATTTGAAAGCAGATGTTTACCTGCAAACCCTTTTATCTCTGTCAGTAGTTGAATGAAACCAAACTCTTTTTGTGTTGGGTTTGTTTGAATCACCAAAAATTGTTTCAATTTGCTAAATGCCACAATAGTAAGAGAAAGGACATGCCAGAGATTTGTTAATTATTGCTTTTGAAATCAGAGGTTTGGATAAAGAGCGATCACTATCTCCTTAAACAACAAGGGAAAGCCCAGATGATGATGTCACGGCTTTAGAAACCTCTGGTGGGTTGACTTGGAGGTTCACCTGTGGATGTGTTTTAAGACCACACCTCCGACACACTGCTTTCTTGTTTGGAATCATGGGAAAGTCAAACAAAATGTCAAAAGAAATGTTTTTCGGATGCTTGAAGGTGCAGCGTTAATCTGTTCAAATAACTATTTTCGAGTACAGACATGATGGGAATGATGGGAACCGTCATAGCAGGAAGAAGACGGATCTTGTGTCCCGGAGATAAACGGGTTTTGGTCAAAAATGTGCAGATTGACCCCAGAACGAAAGCCAAAGACTTTGTGAAGATGCTGCTGAAGGGAGCATTACTAACCGCAGTGAAACACTTACTGTATCAAATTGGACTGAAAGGCCGCTCAGTGAGTCGGAAGCCATGAGCCTCAGAAATTCAAAAACGGGTGAGAAACAGTGATTAGCATGCATCAGTCTAGAAAGGGTTAAAAAAACACAAGCTAGTTAACCTCAGTGAGAATTGTTATCTTATTGAGGAAAAAAAAAACATGGAACAGTGTTGAACTTTCCCAGGGGTGGCGAACCTACCAAAACTTTATCGATCTCATCCTGCGCCAGATCTCTGTTACCTGATGTATTCATCTAATATGACGTAAGTTTGACTACATGCTTTAATGTCTCTTTAAAAAGTCCAGCTCTTCCTGAAACTCCGCCTTCAGGAAGTCATCACGACATGACTCGTGGATTAACCCTTTAACAACATTTCTATCAGCATTGCACTAAGAAGTAGTTTTCATAACGAGCTCAACAGATGAGCAGTTCCATCAGGTGTTTGCTAATTGCTGCTGGCTAGTCTGAAGGAGCTGAAGAGGAGATGGTTTAAAGCGTGGAGGCTTGGAAACTGCAGCTCTGAGGAGGAGCTTTGCCGTCGAAGGCGGAGCTACGTCCACCCAGGGGTTTTGCACGGGTGAGTGGTTGCCATAGAGATCGAAGCATTTCTTAAACATGCTTAAAAGAATCAAGGAAACACTCCAGGTATATTTTTGATGAGGGAATAACAAGGCAACATGACGTAAAACATTAAAAAAAATTGATTTGACATCACACTGACCCTTTAATAATTAAGATCATCGGCTGAAAGCAAATTTGCAATGACTGGTTAGCACCTTTGACTGAAGATCTGAAAACCTTTAAGTGCCACAAGAAAACAACAGCGACATGAATTTGGAAATTAGCATATATTTTTGGACACTGTTTTGTCCTTCCAGTGGGATTTGAAGAAAATACAGCTTTGCCCGTTTTTCTATAATTCCGTCCTGATGTTTTGTGGAGGGTTGATGTGTAATTCTGCTGCTCATATACTCTTACAGTTTATTGGAGATAAATGCTTCCACGCATTATGACTGAACATATCTTCTTCCATCTCTCCAGCAGCTTGCATCTGTCCCAGACTTAGAAACATGTCATCTGATCTGATGCCTCTGCTTTCAGATTTTTAAAGTGTGTAATTTGATAAGCAGAGTGAAGCACAAACAGTCGAACTGGCCCGCGTGTCTGATTCCCTCCATATCTATAGCTGAAATGCGCTTAAGAAAAGATAAAGAACTCATCACTCAAAAAGAAAATCTTTTTTGTTGGGTCGAGCTCATTCGCGTTGTCATGTTACAACCACTAACTTTGATGTATTTTGTTGTCAATTGATTTGATCGTTTAATGTAAAGTTATGCATTGTTCTACATTTGAATGAAAATAATTTGTCGCTTTTAAATCGGCGCACAGACAAAAACTGGAAACTTTCACTTTAAAAGCCAGAGATCAATGCCGACTGTGTGTGTTTTTTCTTCTGCCCCTTTGGTCATTACTCAGCTGTAACAACATTAGGATGAGCGTCTGGAAACTTTGCTCATTGGGAAATGGAAAGTGTTGAAGATTTCCTTTGCAAAAAAACTCCCAAAAATATCTCAAACTCAGCCAAACTGGATTGACATCATCTAGAAGAGCAATTTTAAAATGTTCCCAAAGGTTCTTGATTGTGTTCAGGGCTGAACTTTCTGAAGTGAATTTGTTTTAATCTAAACCAGTGAAGGTATCTCTGGGTGTATGTTTTCCATTTGTCCACCAACTCTTACTAATGGCACTTCCTTTGCTGAAGAAAAGCATCCCCACATCATAATAATTCCACCACCGTGTTTCACCTTGACAGAGGCCTGGTCAGTGTGACGTGCAGCAATAATTTTCTTCTGCACATAGTGATAATGTTTTATCTGTTGCCATTTCTTTATAAAGGAATAAGAATAGAGAATCTACTAAACATATAACTACCAATTACAGATCTCTTTGTTTTTGTCATCAAATATTTTAACATAACACATATGAAGTATATATATTATATTCAGATGTAATAGGTGATATTATCTCTATATCTAAATAATAGGTATAATATAGTAATATATATTATAATACAGCTATATCACATATATTAATATATATCACATAAAAATGCATTCAACTATTAGATATTTTAGATATTATTATCTATTATCTCAACATTATATAATATTAATAGATAATGTTATATCTATGTTTAGATGGGAATATTTAATTATATTATATTTAAATTGGTTTCAGAAGGTTAATACAACAAAGGCGTAAGCACTAGTTCTTGAAAATAAAGAAAATAAAAGAAATCAGTTTGACATCCAATTTTTCCCAAAAGGAATTTTAATTCACTGTAGTTCATAATAGTGGACATGTAATAGCCTTTTACACCAAATATATTAAATATACATTTTTTTTTAATACTCACTTTACTCGCGGTTTTAACTCAAACTATGCACATTAGTAAGATTGATACATGACCATAAGTAGACGAAATAAAGTCACAGCTCGGTATATGTTTTCCATAATGTGTTCAAAAATAGTTGTAAATATGTGTCTGTAGTTCCCGGTGACGGCCGATGGGGGCAGCAGAGTCAGTGTTTACAGAATTAGGAGAGTTTGCTGCACGAGCTGGCTGCTGGGTAGCGTGGAGGTGAAATTACACTAAGAGAGGAGGTCGCTGTAGTAGGGTTTTTCTCTCTCTCTCTCTAAAGTTATTAAAAGTCCCAAAGAACCAAAAAAAGGCTTGTCGCGTTTCTAGAAGCTAGCTACACACTCGGAGGAAACTGTTAAATGATATGAAACTGTTAAATATCGCGGGAAAAAGCTTCTGACTCGGACTCGCTGGCTCCTGCATGGTCCCAGGCTAGCTAACAGTTAGCTGCAGCAGCTTCTTGGCTAGCGGGCTAGCGAGGTCCAGCCCAAATTTTGTTTGCCTCGAGTGGATGTGGTCACCCCCCGAGCTGTTCACGACTTTTCTCTTTGCACGGACAACAAGAACCAAGACTCCACACTGGCTTTGACACCGTGCGCTGTCAGGAAACCAGCAGGATGTCCACCGAGGTTGAGTGTAGCCAGGTTGACTCGGGTTTGACAGCGAGCAGCTCCAGCGGGGTGCAGGACAAAAACCAAAACAAGACAGAGGGTGCTCACCTGCACAAAGAACAAGAGGAGCCGGGGCAGAGAGGCACGGAGAAGCAGCAAGTCGACGACCACAAGCAAGAGTCGACCAAGAGCCAAGCGGACACGCACAAGAAAAGCAAAGAAAACGATAAAGAAAACGAGCAGAGTGGTGACGCTGACTCGACAGTCGAGGCAGTGAAGAAGAAAGTTGTAGAAGCGCCTCCGCCGAAAGTCAACCCGTGGACTAAAAGAACCACGGGCAGAGTGCCGGTGAGCAACATCAACTCCGGCTCCCACGATTCAGGTGAGCTGCTTCCATGTTTTATAGACGAAGGTGGGGGGAAGTGAATAATGCGGTCCGCAGCAAATGTGTCACGTCGTCGAGGTATTTCTGGACGCTTCACTCCGGAGAAACCCGCCGCGAGATGAACTGTCATCTCATCACACGGTGGCTTTCGTCAAATGTAATTAAACAATTTGGATGTCGGCTAAGTGTTAGCAACACACTTGCCCCATCCCCCCGTGCTCGGGTTGCTCATGAACACCACGTGTTGATTGCTGACAACTGCTACTTCTCTTAGCTACCAGCAGCTAGCGGTTATGTTGCTCCGATCCCCCAGGGGTATCGGCGGCAATGGGATGGGACTATTTTGTTGTGTTTTGGGGGGAGATAGTAGCTTAAAAGCTGCTCGATTTGAGCTACACTCGACGATTCAGCTTCGAGCAGCTAGCTCGTCTCGCTGGCTGAGGCTAAAGCCAGCAGGCTAGCAGCCTG